GAGCCCCCCCCCCCCCCCTGTGCAGGCCGAGGAAGGAAAGCCAGCCAAAGGAAGCGCTCAGGAGGCAAGCGCAGAGGCTGTGCCTACTGCAGAAGAGAGGTCGGCCGGGGATGCGATCGTCGGGGTCTTCTTGCTGCTCTTCGGCTTCGGCTGCGTCGGGTTCTGTGTCTACTACTGGTCGGCGGCGTCCAAGCGAGTGAAACAGAGACTACAAACTGCAGCCTCTAAACGGCTCATGAAGCGTGGCAAGGAGGGGGACACCCAGCTCTATGTCACCAGCATTGAAGGTCTCCAGGCAGGTGAGCAAGTTGTTCTCGGCAAGGAGACGGTCACCGTCGAGAACGTGGCCTTTGTCGTCACACTTAGTGATGGGCTGACAGATGCGTGTAAGTCTGGGGATGACGTTGTCAAAACTCCCGAAGATTCTGAAAGTGCAGATCAGAAACCTGCCCTGGTCAAAGATGCGGCTTCAGGCGACAAAGAACTTGTCGTAAGCAGCGCTCTTGTTGCGAAGAAGGGCGACAGGCTCAAGATCGGTGCTGCAGCTCAGGAGTTGACAGTGAAGTCGGTAGCCAAGATCGTGATCGTGACCCCAGAATTGAAGACAGCACACGCGATAGGCACCAAGTTGCGCAAGCCGGGCGAGCCGGAGAAGGATGCTGACAAAGACGAGGCGGCAGAAGAGACGGCCGCAGAGGAGACACCAGGCGACGAGACTGAGGAGAAGCCACGGGAGCCACCCGCCAGCTCACAGGACTGATGAAAGACCGGATGTCCTTGCGCGCGTGCGCCCTGAGAGATGACGTGCAATTTCCTGGCTCGGTGCAAAGCACAGGGCCAACTTGGGAATAGGGCGGATTGGATGCACTCCGCATGCCTGAGCAGAAGCAGATTCCACATTGTCCAAAATCATTCTGCTACGCTCTTCTTGCCCGCAATGTTCATATGACATACTCCGAATTTCCGATGTGTGAGACTAGGGCGCAGTCCTGCTGAGCTGTGAGCGCCGAGGAGCGACGGGCTTCCGTGGTCGCCCAAAGTCTTCCGCAGGGATCCCTGCCTGCACATGTTCCCACTCCCACGGCCCAGGTCAAGGAGCTTGCAGCCGTCGTGGCCACGTGGTGCACTGAGTGGGGCAGCTGTCCACCACGGCTGAGCAAAGAAGCCAGGGTGCTTTTGGTGAATTTTAGCGCTTTCCCGTTTGCTCTTGCCCCTCTCAGCCTGTTTTCCTGCTCGACGAGCCCCTGTGCAGTTCCTGCATGCTGTGCTCTTTTCGCCCTCCTGCACCATGCGCTTTCTTGTCCGTTCCGGGCTTCTTGGCAGTCTGGCAAGAGGACAACATGCTGAATTCGGGCAGGCCGTAGCTTGCTGCTTGAACCAAAAGTCCGTCGAAGCGTTTCGTGCCTTGCCCTGGCGGCTTCTCGCATCATTTCTGAAGAAAGCTTGCACATCGTCCTTTGGGTTGCCCGCTGTGTCTCGAAAACTTCTGTGCCACTTGCAAGTACACCGCGCCAGCTATCTTGTGCGACGTGATCATGGGCAGCGAAGCGCAACCTCTCGTCGCGAGGCCTTTTGAAGGTAGCTGATAACAGTGCACAGACCGACATGCAATCCCAGCCGCAGTGCAAACACTTAGACTGCTACAGAACCAAACAAAAGCTGCAATGTATGGGAGCTTGCAATAGTTTTGACATAACTAGTGACATAGTGAGTCCAATGGGCTGTAGCAGAGCTCGCCGTCGGCTGCAGGCAGCTCTGGAACAGAGAAGTGATTTTGCATTTTCGGGGTGCAGAAGTGCGTCACGCGAAGAGTGGTCGTACCCCTGTTCCAGATTGTTCCAGGCGCTTGCAGCCACGGTGGCCGCGTCGTGTCCTGAGTGGGGCGGCATGCAACTGCACACCACCACTCTGAGATGTGGGGCTGGGCTGGTCTCTTGCTCTCAGGACCTGGTGCTGGGGAGTGTTCAGCCAGGTCCAATTTCTCTCATCGGAAGAATCGAAGTGTTTCGGTGTTGCTTGTGCCAGGCATGGCTTCTGCCGCAGGCTGGGGAAACCCGTGCTGTGTGCTGCCGAAGTTGCTGAAAGCCGCTTGCTGCGCGAGGCACCTGCCGGCCGCCGTGAACTCCTCGGCGCGGGCTTGGCAGGCCCTGCAGAGCGCGCGGGTAGGTGGATGGGTTGGGGTTTGCTGTGTGCGCAGACTGCCAGGCTTGGGCTTGGCGATAGAGGCGCGGCGGAGAACCACAGCCCGATAGGCTGAGTCAGCCCTGCACGCCAGCATGTGCCGAGGCTGAGCCGGCTTTGGCAAGCGGCGGATCAACCGCTGCAACCTCGGTGTGGCAAAACGTGGCCATGCCGTGCTTGGACACGTACGGAGGCCGGCAAATACTCCACGATCCCGTCGGGGAAGCGGAGGCAGAATGGAAGACTTGACGACATGTCGCGGCTGGCTGCACAGACTGAGATGCCGTGCGAGGTTCTATGGGCGCGTTAAACAAGGCCTCTACCAGCCCACGACTCAAGCCAGGGAGGACGGAGGCACATGGTTAGTGTCCGAGCATTGCGACTTCTGCGAGGTACCTGAAGATGGAGCCGGCCATCAAGGCTGGGAACTTGCAGGCCCGGCTTCCGAGCGAATTCCTATCTCTTTGGGAGCTCCGGGAGCCGGGCCCTACCAAAGGCACCGGAGATCGAAGATTTCTTCAGTCAGGATCCTGGCAGGCTGATGTTCCGGAACGTTTGTCAGTCTTTGCAGACTGAGGCAAGAACATCATCAAAGTGAAGGGAGGGCAAGACATAAAGAATTGTGGTCGGACTCTCGGTTTAGGGTTTAGGGTTTCCAGACCGGTGCGCCTGGTGCAACGCTGCCGTCCCTCGGGTTGAAAGCCATGCAATCGAGCTTTGTCGAGTAAGGTTTCGGCGGAAAGTGCAAGACCAAGGAGAAGAGGCCCCTAAACCCTAAACCCTAAACCCTAAACCCTAAACCCTATACCCTATACCCTATAAACCCTAAACCCTAAACCAAGAAAAGCCTGTAGCCCAAGACATGTAGACCACGACGAGAAGCATCCTATCGGACGCCTGCAACTGTCTGGGACTCACGGGAACATGGGGAGTTTCCAAAATTAGGGGTAGCTTATTTGGGGTTCCGTTTAACAGGGATCCTACTAATTAGTAGTATGTGGGGTACTATATTAGGGTCCCTTATTTGCGGAAGCCCCCACAATGGAGAGTGCGAAGAGGACGTCGCGATGGCTGGATTTCAAGACGGCCACCGACCTTCTCGCTGCTTGCTGAAAAACGCGCTTTTTGTTTCCATGCCTATTTCTGGTGTCCCAGAGAGAGTCGACTTCTGCTGAGGGTGGGGCCTTTCGTTACAGCGCCGGCGACATTCCGGATTACTTGCCGCAGGTGGCTTCGGAGCTGTAGAGCTGTTGGTTTCCCTAAAAGGGCTTCTCTTCTCTTCCCTGTTGTGCGGTATCAGCAAGACTGGTGCAGGCAGGTTCCCTAAATTTGCAAGCTAGACAAAGCATCACAGGTATCCGAGGGCTTTAGAAGCCAGTGTTGGGGGTTTGTGACCTTTCTCCCGCTCGTTTCAAGCTTGGGTGGGCCGAGGGCATCAGCCCTAGGCCCAAAAAAGGTGGCGGTTGTCCTTGGTGCTAACTGCAGCCGAGAGTGTAAGTCGGCCCGGCCGCCATTTGTCCTAGCAGCTGAAGAGGAAGTCACCTTGGGTGTGATATGCCACCATCCTTGCATCGCTGCACAGGCGGCCTGTTGAACCCCACTTTAAAGCCTGAGTTTACGAAGTCGCAGATCTTGCCCGGAGAGAGCTGCATGTACGGTCTGTTTTTTTGGGGGGCTTTAGGCTTGTGTGTTTCTTGCGTGGGTCGGGGGAGAAGCGTGTGGCTCTGTGTCTCTCTCTCTCTCTCTGTGTGAGAGAGTGCTATCGTCTTTTTGCTGGAGCCTTTCGTCTGGTGGACCGCCTACGACACTCGGAGCCCCTTGTGTTTACTTCCTTCTCTCGGGCTGATTTCCTGTTGTGCTCAGAGCCACGACATGGATCTTGGGACTTCATACTTCATGTCAGTTGACTTGGTGCCAGGTTCAGATCATCCGTTCCTTTGCGAAGAAGGCCTGAGGATCCGCACATTGCATCACCAAGTCTGGTCTGTGGCAGAATGCTTGGCAGTTGTGTCGGTATGGCAAAGATCTCAGCACTGAAGTATGAGCTGCCGAACAGGTGACCCGAATGGAGGAGACGTGGCTTATGGGCATCTTCCGCGAGCCCGAAAAATGGCCTGACAGCCCAAATCGAACATGCGAGGAAGCCATCCAGGAAGGCAAGACTGACGAGGTGGAACCCTATGCTTGTCTTGTCAGATCTAGGCCAAGGAGAATATATGTCCTTTCAGGTCCAACAGCTTTTTGCCAAGTCCAAGCTGGATTTGTCGAGGTGCAGCCATTCTCACTTGATAGCTGCTCCTGCTGAACCAGCCTTGCCAATGGTCCGCATGGATTGGATGGCAAATTTGACTCGACTCAAGGTACCTCCCGCTTGTGGAGCTGGAGCCTCTGGACTCACAGGCGGGCCGGTCGCAGAGTCTCACCAGTTCTCGAACTCTTGGCAGTGCTCATCATGTGTATCTGCAGGACTACACGCACGAATGGGATACACGACCGGAGGCAGGATCGCATTTGACCTGGCTGGACTTTGACGACCAAGCTTCGTGAATCGCGCAGGTGATCTGTCAGGGCACATTCTGCGTGTGACGCTTCTGTCTCATAGTGGTGCGGGGTAAGAGCCGCACTGATGGTTTCTCGTGCGAAGGAGTCTGCCGAGGATGGAGGGCTGCAACAAGTAATCCAGTACGGATGTGTGGGCAACTGATCTGCGAACAGCCAAATCTTGACAATGGCAGCACCCAAGATGCGATTCGACATTGCGCGCTTCTATGTGTTATCTTCCAGCTGCTATGGCTTTCAGGGGAGCGGTTGTAGTTGCGACTGGTGCTCACGTTCCGAGCAGCGCCGCTCCAGGAAGAGGGAAGCTAGAAGTAGGCGGCTGTGCTGGTTGTGCGAGGGGACTGAGTTCCAAGTTCAGAGCGAGCTGCTGCAAGCCACACCTTCAGCCCGGTGTGAGGTCATACACTAGTCTAAGTACATATTCCGGCCTCTTTTTAGTGAGGATATGATGCTGTACTTGTTCTACTCAGGAGCCCTATAGACAGTCCCTAACCCCGGCCCACGGCCTGGTATGCCCTCCAGCGCCGGTGAGGGGAACCTGCATTCGGATAAAACGGGCCCCAGGAATGATGTTACCGAATTTTGCCTCAACCCTGAACCTGAGATAGACAGCGCAGAAGGGTTTAGGGTTTGGGGTGCAGACACCAGAGTTCCTCCACCCGGATACTCTACCAACCCCAAACACCAAACCTTAAACCCTTAAACCTAGACTCAAAACCTCAAAGTTCGAAAAAGAGCGTGCCTGTGTGTGGACAGCGGCGGTCACGATGCCTGCAGGGCGAGTTCCGAAAGCGGAGAGCTTTATGATAGCTTGCCAAGGCTGCTAAGGGTTTCATAAAGGTCCTTTTTGAGATTTGGCACGGAGCTCAGGGTTTCTGTAAGTTTGTCGATAAACGGGTTTGGGGCTCTTAAAGCGTCTTGGAGTTTGAGGTCTCGGGCTCAGGTAGTGTGGTTTAAGCTTTATGTGTGCGAGATGCACCCAGACCTTCAACCCTAAACCCTAAACCCTAAACCCCTGAACCCCAACCACTGGAAACTGGATCCTACAGTGCGACACGAGAACGCTAACTTCAAAACACTCAGCGGGGCCAGAAGCCAAACGATGCCACCTTCCGGGAATTTGTCGTCGTTTGGTTCGTATGCCCCCAAGAGGTTCTATCCTAAACCCCTAAGCCCCAAACCTAAACCCTAACTCCCGAAACGCAAGACCCTAAACCCCCCAAAGCCCTAAAAGCAAAACCCCTAAACCCCGAACCCCAAACCCTTAGCCCTCAACACTGGTCCATCAAAAAGCTGGCTTTGGTGGGATTTCTTGGGCCGCTCCCATGGAGTGCAGAGACGGATCCTCAATAAGATAGGGTTTAGGTGAGGCCATGCCGTCTTCTGGAGCCTTGTCCGGCGTACGCCAGCACAGATGGTCGGAAAAGTCGCTGAAGGGTATGGCAGGAGCTTGGCATGGAGAGGGCCCAGCAGTTTGGACATGCAGTTTTGCCGGTTTCGTCAGGACCACTTGGAGTCAAGTCAGTGGCATGGCACGAGTTGGATGTGGCCGGTGGTTTCAATTTTCCATGACGGATTGGTGGCTGCTGAACCTCATGCCCCAAATCCCCACATATCCCCACCTCCAACGCAAAACGCAACACCCTCTTGCCTGTCGCGAACCCACTTCGTCAGGGGAGGGGTTGTGATGGAGACGCTGCTCGCGACTCATGCTCCCGATCAGAGCAGCGCTGCTCAAGGAAGAGGAAGCTAGAAGTAGGTGGCTAGCTGAGTGCGCGACTCAGGGCAGTTGCCGTTGCACACCCATTGTGTTGAACGTGTACCTCCAATCATGCCGTGTTAGGGTGGTGCGGTCTCTGACACTGTGATTGCAGCCATGGATGCACTGGACTGAATTCCAAGTTGATTCAGAGTGAGCCAGTGCAAGCGTCGACTCAGTCCCATGCGAGGTCAGATCGCAGGAGCAGATCACAGGTACACGAATGTCATGGAATATTTGGCCCAGCACCAGGCCCGACAATGGAAAATGGACTCGGGCTGGTTTGGGTGCCATTTTGTGCCTGCTGCGAGGCTGGATGCAACCCGTGTCATCGTGCCGTTGGGCTGCCTTTACACCCCTCTGAAGGTTGAGCCAACGAATGAGTCGGAGAAAATTTGTCTGGAGCCTTGCGCAGGAGACAGAAGGCCTTCAGCTGGTGGAGTACGAGCCTGTTATTTGCAAGGCCACGCATCTCTTGCGGGCGCTTTTACTTAAGTCTTACTGTAGCGAAGCAAGGCTCGTCCCTGTGTATCTTGTGCTCTCGTGCCGCCGGTCGCCCGCTGTCAACAACACCCACCGGATCCTCGAATGATATGGAATGACACGAGATTGGGGCGTGCACTAGCATCAACATCGTTTCAACACTGCCTGCAGATATGTACCTCCAGCGCGGGTTTGCTTTCAAGCACTCGCATGTAGGCATTTCTATGCGAAGAGCAGTCTCGAGCAAAAGATTCCCGGTTCGTTCTCGTTCGAGGCTGTTTTCATAGCTTGTTTTTGGCTCCGCTTTGGCGAAGTTTTGTGCACTATTTTTCCGATTTCGATTTTTTGCATGCTCCATGCTCTTTGAGGCTATCAGCTCGTTGGCCGTGGGATGTTTCGTTTTGTCGCACATGCCCTGTGTGCCGCATTCTCAAAGTTTTCCTGTGCTTTGCATGCCCTGTTCAAGGCATGTAGGGCAAGCCAGCTTCTCGCGAGCTGCGGGTCTCATTCAGACTGTTTGTAAAGCGCGCAAAGATTTGCCAAGCCCGCATCCAGAACGTGCAAGAAATCTGCGACCGAGAACAGCGTTTTCACAGACGGCATCCGTGCAACACATGTTGCCCAATGTCGTCTTGCTGTCTAGGGGTCTGTGAGCGCAGAATCTTTCAGCAAGGTGACATCATGCGCTAGCCGTTCGCAGAATTTGGTTGCCAGTGGTTGCGGTCTTTTCTCAGCCATCGATGATGGGCGAAGTTTCTGCTTACTGCAAATCTTGAACCGCTCAAGCTGTGCGAGCAGGGACGAGACTGCGGAGCTGTACTGAATCCTTTTTGTTATGTGGACTTCCACTCCAAGAGTCTGCTCCCCAGCTTTAGTGCGAGAGCCTGTCCTATGTTCGTCTTCCTGTGCTTCGATGCTTCGACTTCCTTGACCAGGTTGGACGTGCCCATTTTGCCACACTCGAAATCGTTTTCCTCAGAGCCGAGCTCAGCAGATCGTCGTAGCTGGTCGTGTTTCAATGCACTGTGCACATACTAGGCACTATGCAGATCACATAACGGAGACGAATTTGCCGGCAGAGCTCCTTCAGATGCCGCCGCCCTGATCCGGCAACACTTCTCTTCGGTCAGTCAAGGGGTCCGGATCTTAAAGTCAAGGTGCTCTACCATCGAGTACATCATTCCATCGGTCGCCTGCCAGCCGCAACTCGGCCTACTTTACAGTACCAGCAGTTCTCTATGGTGGAGTAATACTACTACTTGAACCGAAGTTTCATTGTGCCCTGCAAGAGCTGCTGTCAGGCCAGTTTTCTTGCTAGTCTTGGACACGGCGCTCATCGAAGAAGAGCTTGACCAAGCAAAGGACAGAACCCGGCTGGTACAATTCCATGGCCACATGGGGGTTTCCGAGAATTAGGGAACCCTAAGATAGTACCCTAAATAGTAGGATCCTTATTATAAGGACCCAAGAATAAGGTACCCCTTGGTTCCGGAAAAGCCCACATCTGCAACATATCCCATTGTTTTCAGGACTCACTCCAGCAGTCGCTGGCCATGATGCCGCAAAACGCTTTGGTCGGCTTTATAACCTTCGGTGCTATGACTGGCCTCCCAGCCGTCCCGGTTTGCAGCTGCTTTGCGTAGGTCTTGGTATCTCCTTAGAGATACTAGACATTCACTCAGGTGCTATGTCCACGAACTGGCCTCCACCACACTGCCCAAGGTGAGGGTCTGCTGCCTCAGATCGCACTGCGATTGAGTGCATGTTGCAGGCCTATGCCTTCCGCGGTGGAAAAGAATACACTGCGCAGCAGGCCGGCCCTTTCAAAATCGCTTCAGGGCTGGTGGTTTCAGTTTAGGTCTTTCGAAGTCGCGACGGCCGAGGGTCTGAAGTCCTCCTGTAGATCTTACGCAGACGGCGGTGCCAGAAGCTTCCCAGGGAGGCTCCAAGATTGGAAGTGTGCACTCGGATGAAAGGACGGAAGAGGTCCATGCATTAGGGTAGCAGCACGATGTGAAGCATCCGCGATGGACACGGCGGGGTGCCAACCCGGAACAGTTGCCGAAGGAGTCGCAGGGGGTGCTCATACTCAAGCTCCCAGCATCTCGGAAAAAACCTTGTTTAACAATACTGTTTTTGTTGCAGCGTTCACGGTCATCAACCACAGACAGGCCTTGGTGGACGGTTCTCAAGTTTTAGGGAATCCATTCTATCACGCAAATCACAATCTCATCAAGAACATTGCTTGTTCCATGCGCACAGGTGGCCTATCAGTTGGGCTTCGCGTTGAAGAATGATCCCAGAGGGACAATGGGTGCCCAAGCAGCAAGGCCCTCTTTTAGTGCGGTGGCACTCACCGACAGCGGCCCTAACATTCTTCGGTCTGGGAGGAGATTCTTGTTGCCAGTTGCGGACTGTGAGCACGCACCTCAGACTCCCACAGACAGAAGCCGAAGTGTTTGAAAGCACTTTACCAGGTTCACACTGAACTCCCTGCTTGACGACCTTTCTAGAGATGCCTGGCCACTTGGTGGCCACGATCGACGACCCTACAGGCCGCAACTGGCAAGGGCGTTGGGGCACACCTCTGCAACGCGAACCCGATGGGCCATATCAGGTGCACAGGAGCAGCCTTGAGCGTAGCACTCGGTTTGGTGGAAGCTACGTGCCCACAAGGCAGTGCCCGGCTCTCAGTTCGAGTTGCGGTGTGACAGATCTCGTGTGCTGTAGCCGTAGACTTGTTGATTCGCAGGGGGGTGGTTACAGGAAGCTAGGAGCATGCTCCAGTCATGTTCAAGCAGCGATGGCTCTTCACTTGCCTGTCGATGGTTCCCTCGTATTCATAGGCTTGCACTTCCGCGTTTAGTTGCTCACCAACTCCCTGGCAGTCCTTGTGCTGACATGCAGCACCGTTGATGAGCGCGCCGCAAACCTGTCCACATACGTGTTGGTGCCACAGCTGGGAATAAGACTATTCTCCCCAACTGAAAACGATACATGAAAGGGCTAAGTTGAGGCAGAGGCAACGGGTAATATGGTTGTGCCAAAAATCGTTCTGTACCAAAATTCAAGATGTGTCAGCTTCGCCTACCTGTTTTTGACAGCGCATCCTGTCGCCTTTGGTTTGCATACGGTGTCATTAGTTTCCCATCGCACGGACGCTTCTTCACAGTATCTGCTGATTCACCTTCGATCACTGAGATGTCACCGAGCATGACTCGAATTGAACAAGCGGTGGTGGCCGTTGAACTGCTGTTTGTGTGGATGATCCGGCAGGGAGGATCATAAACCATTCCCTTTCGCATGAGGGTGCAGCCCACATGATTCCTCCGACAGCTGAGCTGGAGATTGCATGGAGTTGCCAATTCCATGTTGTGAGCTGCGTGGGGGGTGGGTCAAGGATGCAGATCCTGTCGCCATTGGTTCACATGAGGTGTGTATCCTCTGATTCATTTGGATCGCTGAGATATGAAACAAACCTTGATTTGCGTCAGCGTGGCGGCAGGCAGCTGCTGTATTGTACTGTTCTTTGTGTGGATGATCCGGCAGGGAGGATCATAAACCATTCCCTTTCGCATGAGGGTGCAGCCCATATGATTCCTCCGACAGCTGAGCTGGAGGTTGCATGGAGTTGCCAATTCCATGTTGTGAGCTGCGTGGGGGTGGTCAAGGATGCAGATCTTGTCGCCATTGGTTCACATGAGGTGTGGATCCTCTGATTCATTTGGATCGCTGAGATATGAAACAAACCTTGATTTGCGTCAGCGTGGCGGCAGGCAGCTGCTGTATTGTACTGTTTTTTGTGAGGATGATCCGGCAGGGAGGATCATAAATCATTCCCTTTCGCATGAGGGTGCAGACCATATGATTCCTCCGACAGCTGAGCTGGAGATTGCATGGAGTTGCCAATTCCATGTTTGTCATCTCCATTCCGATCGCTGAGATGGCTGCGAGTGCCAGGTGTGCCTGGCGCATGTCCGTTTACGAAGGGTATGTAACAACTAGCAATGCCTGATCAGATTATAAACAGTTCCTAGTTCTGTCATGTCCAGAGTTTTTGGAACTATCGTGTTGCACAGCTATGTGACAAGATTCATGTACAAGGCCCCTGACGGCATGTCACAGAACACGACCATGTTGATGATCCGGCAGGGATGATGCGAAGCCCATTCCCATTCGCACGCTGCCAGCACATACAATGTTCCTGTGGCATGCACAGTGCGCGGACGTGGAGGTTCGTGTGTGTGGCTCTTCTTTGAGTCTGCACGCGTTCAAGCGAGAGGAGCTTCTCGTTGTGTAGTTTCACTGTGTTTCGATGCCTCGATATCGTACAAAGCTGTCGATCCCCGCATGTCGTGAGGTCCAAGGCCTATATTCCATTGGAGAGGGTGGTTCAGTGACTGTCAGATTCTGGTCGTTTTTCGTGACAGTGATGTGTTCATCGGGCTGCAGCTAGGTGCGTGTGACGCTGCTGGTTGGTGGTCCGTGCAACGTTGGCCCCGGCATGGTCGTTGGCGAGGCTCGGAGAGTTACGATCCCGACCCTGAGCATGGTAGTTGCATGCCTCGCGTGAAGGAGCTCGCAGAGACCATCAGATCCCACTTAGACCTCCAGAAGGAGACGCCGAATGCTGGAGTCCCGGATTCTCCAAAAAGAGAGCCGAAGCTGTAGACGGTCTCCGGCGTCCTGTGATGCTGGGCTTCCATTATGCGGCTTGTGGGGACTCCTGATCCACCAGCAGCAAGGCCAAGCACACGAAGAAGGCGTTGAAATTCTACGCTTCGCTTGCCTCAAGGGCCAGAAGCTCGAGCGCGACATGATGCGATATGCATTGCCAAAGATATGAGAGCATCGCTGTTGCGTCCTAAGTCTTCCGCAGAGGCTGTGGCTTGTGGCTTCGCCGTCGACATTTTTGCGTGCTCTCTCGACCAGGCACCGCACTTCCTTGGATAAATGCCAGCCTCTAGATGGGGGGTTTTCCGAAAATAGGGGACCCTAATAATAGTACCCCAAATACTGGTAGTAGGGCCCCAAAATAAGGTACCCTTTATTGGGGACCCTAAGAACAGTACCCCAAATAGTAGGGCCCCCAAAATAAGGTACCCCTTATTTTCGGAAACTCCCAGATCCCGAGCCTCTTCAGGTCGGCCTTTACGAGATGAAAGTCATCTCTGACAAAACTGGCGGCTACATGGTCCGGACCCCTCTTGGGTTTAGGGTTTAGGGTTTAGGGTTTAGGGGTTTAGGGGTTTAGGGTTCAGGGCATGGGCTCGGCAGCCCCATGTCACCTTCTCTAGCAGGTCATGAGCGACTCCTTCAGCATGCACGTCTTCAAGGATCTGCAGGGGTGCACCCGGGTTTGATGGGTGCTGCTGTTCGGAGCTCTGGTTCACAGTGCATACAAAAGTATACAATGCATAACCGATCAGATGTAGTACATAGTATATAAAAGTCTACAATAGCTTAATGGTTTGTAACAACACATAGTACATAACGCATGGAGCAGCATGCGGTTCCCTTCAGGAATCCTTTAGGAAGATCTTCGAGCCCGATGAGGCGCCTCTCTCAGCCAGCCGCGAGCCCTCGGAGTTGTTTTTTTTTGTTTTGGGTTTTAGGGTTTAGGCCCTAAGCCCTAAACCCTAAACCCTAAACCCTACTTCATGGATCTGCTGAGACGGGCTACCTGAAGCTCGGCTTCAACGCGAAGATCGAGGCCGAAGCCTGAGTTGGTTTAGGGTGCAGGGTTTAGGGTTTAGGGTTCAGAAGTGAACTTGCTGTGTAGTGGACGGGTCAAGCGACAAAGCCTCCTCGGCTCAAGCCGTGGCGTCTAGTTCTTCTGATTGATACAAATGTCAGGGCCTTTGCAGGTCCAGCCTCTTTGCGTAGTGTGATGGCCGCCACTCAGAGCACGGCCAGAATGTGGATGCTGAATGTCCTCCTGCTCATCTGCTTGCCGAGTTTCTCTGCTGCCGCAGTGTACGCACATGTCGGTGCGGATGGAAGCATAGCAGAAGCCCCGAGAATGATGAGACTTGAAGAAACGTCGCTTCAGCAAGGTCAGGAGTCGAAGGAACATTTGGTCTCGATAGGCTCCCATGAATCAAGGGCAGACATGGAGACGAAGTTAGCAGATGATGCCCGTGCGGGCATTGGCAGCTTCGTCGAGTGCTCGGTCGAGGGCGGTACGTGCAAATGTGACGGTGTCGTGATGTATCTTGGTACATTTGAAGTCACGCTATATAGCTATAGTTATACTGTGACGTAATGTAACATACTAAAGGAGACTACAGACACCTCTGTGATACACTGTACTATACTGTACTATATACGACATGACGTACTATATATACCATGTACTATGTGTGATGTGCTGTATACTATAGCTACTATAGACACTATAGACTACAAACTAAAAGCGATGTACGGTATACGATACAAGACATGCTATGCCATGCTACGCTGCGCTCTGCTATGCTCTGTTTTTCCTATGTTCTGCTTGGATGTGATGTACTCTACTACACTACACTATACTATACCATACTTTTCCTTACTTTACTAGAAACAAGAACAAGCCTATACTGTACTGTAAGAAACTACGATGCGCGATCCTGGGACCCAGGTATGGTCGGCCTACATCGAACTGGGAAGAACTTCGAGCTGATGGCTCCGTACCGTGCACGGCAGCAATGTTTGACTCGATACCTGCACCCGAAGGTGAGCTGAATGTCTGCAGGTGCTACTCCTTGCATTGGTGTGGGGAGAACAATGTTGACAAGCTCGTATCCGACACGGCAAGCAGGAGAAGAAACAGCTTCGGCGTGCCCGGAAGGAATCTCCACCAGCGGCGGAGATGGTGCGGCTGGGGACCGCGCGACTGCGCCTGGAGTTCTTGGAGCAAGTGGAGCGAGTGTTCGGGTGGGAAGCAATGTGCAGAAGAGGGCGTGAGCCAGCGAACTCGGCAGCAGGAGACCGAGCCTGAAAATGGAGGTCGCTGCCAGCCAGAGAGCACCAGTGAAGAGACAAAGTGTCACTGGGTCGGATGCCAGAAAGGCCAGAGCTCTTTGGCCAAGTTGAAGATAAGCAAAGCCTTTGCTGCAGAGGAGGCGGAGGGCGTGCTGGCGAAATCTGCGGAGGCAGTGAAGAAAGCTGCAGAGGCCGCAGGTGTCTCGTCAGACTTGGTCAGCAAGGCCCGGTCAAAGTTCCTGACGCTGGCTCGAGCGGAAGTCGGAAGTCTGACTCCCGCGCGCCTCGGAAGGATTGCAGCAGAATCGTTCCTCCCAGCAGTGAGGACCGCCATTGCCAGCTCCGACGTGAGGGCGAATGTGGTGTCACTGGCCGGTGAGGTGATTTTGCTTGGCGTCCGAGACGAGAGTCCGCTGATGGCACATGTTGTGGATGTCATGGCCTCTGAGATCGCTGATGCACTGGGGCTCCCATCGATTAAAACGTCAACCTCGGCACCTGATTCTGGCGTCCAAGTCTTTGGTACGGCAGGCTCCACAACCACCGTCCCTACCATCGCAATCTTCCCCAAAGATGGCTCCGACAGCGTGCAAGGCTGATAGTTCCGGACCAAGATAGCAGGTAAAGCCCTGCATGAAGGAGCCCAGAGCTTCAAGGAAAAGGTCAAGACAAGAGCGATGCTCGAGCAAACCCCCGCGTCTCCAGCCCGGGATTTCTTCGCCCTCGCCCGCAGAAAGCATGATAAACCGAGCTTTGGCATTGGCAGGTTTTCACCTCCAGGGAATTCAAATGCTGCGGTGCAGTTGGCGGTCTATCGTCATGCACTTGGACCTGCCACCAACTTCGTCTTGAAGTTGCAACCCTAAACCCTCAACCCTCCTGAGGTCTCTCGGCAAGAAGGGGCCCTGTGTTGCGGAAACTGAGATCGGTGAAGGCAACACTTGCCAGTGGGCCGCTCTCTCGGTTTTGTCTGAGCAGAGAGAGAGTATATATATATATATATATAGATGTAATGTAATTATTAATGATATATATATATATACACACACATGAAGAATATGTAACTTCCAGGTTGCCGGCTCCCTTGATCGCAACACGACTATTGGCTTCTACTTCGACATCGCCCAGGCATGGGCTTTGGCGCTTCGTTAAGCGTCACTCGGGTGATGCGTTGAGGCCGCCACTGCAGCTGCGGGTAAGCAAGCCTTTTTGCAGCTCCAGCCTTACACGACGGCCACTCGAAGTGCGATCTGGCAGACTGCGGAGTCGAAGCCCTCTCTCTTAGAGCTGAGGTTTCAGACTTGCTACTTGCATCCTTCGGGAAGGAAGCGCCTCAGGGTAACTACAGTGCCCGAGACTTGGAAGCTAAGCAGTCGATATACTGCATGTATAAGAGCTTACGTTGTAATTTAGGGTTTAGGGTTATACTATACAATATGTATAAGAGCTTACGTTATAATTTAGGGTTTAGGGTTATACTAGACAATCTACGATAGTTTTTCAACACTTCGCGTCGTCGGCCCCGGCCTGGCCGCAAGCAAAGAGGGCAGCCGGCTTCCAGAGACTAGAGGTCCCTACCCTAAACCCTAAACCCTAAACCCTAACCACTAAACCCTAAACCCTAAACCCTAAACCCTAAACCCTAACCACTAAACCTCTAAACCCTAACCACTAAACCTCTAAACCCTAAACCCTAAACCTAAACCCTAGGCCTTTCCCGCGAATAGCTTTTTGGTACATGAGCCCGGTGGCAAGCAAGTGGGAGCCTGGTCTTCAAATCAAGGCGCGCTTGGCAGGTTCAGCGACGAAGGTAGGAGTGGGGCAGAAGAGGACCGGGGAGGGCGCGGCGCAGAAGAGATGGTGCATTATATGTGAGTAGTACAGTATACTATATCGTACTAAAGTATAGGATACTTGTAGTATACTATAAAGGACGCGAAGAGTCTCTTTCGAACTCCATGCTGAAGCTACGCAGCAAGGTCACATCGCTTCACGGATGCGCAGATGAGTGACATCCAGCAAGGCGGGAGGGTTGGAAAGAGCTTACGGTTGAAGGTTTAGGACTTTGGGTTTAGGGCCGTCTAGGACCCTAAACCCTAGCCCCTAGACATTGGGGTTTAGGGTCGTTTGGGGGTTTAGGGTTTCGGGTTGCTTCCCGGGCAGGCTTTGACCAGGAGGCCGCCGCAGTGCTGATGGCCCGCTATGCGGTCTTCAAGTGCGAGAACGAGGCTAGGGTTGAGGGTTTCGGGCTTAGGGTTTATGGTTTACGGTTTCGGGTTTAGGGTTTCGGGTTTAGGATAAGTGCGAGAACGACGTGGGCCTCCAAGGAAAGCGCACCCCAATGGAAAAGACGCGCATTGACAAGGTGATGGGCGCCAAATTCTAGAGACGCAGGGTTTAGGGTTTAGGGGAGACCCAGGAAATATTGAGTTCGAGCATGCGGGGATTCCCTTTCCGAGAGCGCCCTACCAGGGCCAGCACTGCTAAGTGTGAAATTAGCATATTAGGTGAACATAATATGGGTAGTTGTTTGTCAAAATTATGGTCCCTTTTGGGGTACCCTAAATAATAGGTGCCGTATTATAATAAGGACCCAAAACGGGACCATAATTTTGACAACCACCCATATGTATCTTGCGGTGGCGAAGCTCACTTCTTCTTCTCTCCCGTGGCGGCGAGACGTGCGCTCAGCGCTGATCGTCGGTTGCGGGAGAAG